TAGTTTCCGGTGATGTTCCAGTCATCTCTGCAAAACTCACTGCTACAGAATATACACGGAATCTCTTTGATATGTTTGCTTATGATGTGTTTGTCAGGGACTCAGATTGAGTTACTTGCTCGAAGGGACCTTGCTCTTGAGGGGCGGGTAGTGTAAGGACATGCCAAAACACGAACTTAGAACATAGCTGATTTATTATTTTTGCCGCTGGGATGTATACCTTGCTGAGATTCCCGCATTTTTGCTGACTTTTCTAAGTTTGTGTGTGTGTGTGTTTGCTGGTCTGCATGCCTGTCTGAGTCCTGAGTGTGTGTGTGACCCACAAGGGCACTTGTTTGTTTGGGAGGCCCCGCAGGGCCGGTACTTACCTGTGGTCGTGACTTTGGGGTTGCAGCGGGGAAAAACACTCAAGTGGCCGAAGGAATAGCTTAGGGCACACTCGAGTAGCGGTGGTGTAGACCCATCGGCACTCAAGTAGTAGGTAGGCCGGTACCAGTCAAAGTAGCAGTGGATGTGTCTGGAACCAGAGGCCGAGCAGAAGTAGACAAAAAGTTAGTATTTTTAGAGGCCCAGCAGCGGTAGGCTAGGTCTAGGCGTGTACCAGTCCAAGTAGCCTGAGTCTAGGGCCTGTACAGAGTCTGCAATGATGTTTCCCTCCGAAAGGGAGGAGGAACTGGCTGCTTGGAGGCCGGGTGGCCTGGAAGTCACCGCCCAAGAGGCATGTTGGCCACTATATCTCCAGGAGGACAAAAGAGCTCCTCATTTTGCTGCATGTAATTTCGGCGTCACGCTGTTGGGGCGCTGCTGGGAAGCAGCGCTGGTGTAGAGCAGCACTGTGGAGAAGAGGAGCGCCCAGCTCTCCACCTTGGCTATGGAGGAGGAGGAGGAAGAAGGGGACTAGGAGAGGGGAGCGCCAGGGGTACTTACCTGACTATGGTGGACACCATCTTCATCACTCCTTGGTGGGCGCTGCATCTGGAAGGCCCCCGTTGGTGTAGGGCAGCATCAAGAAGCGTCGAGGCAGAGTCAGGCATGGCGGCCTGAGAGGAAGAGGCCATAGCTGCTTTGCATTGTCTTTTGCAAGGGCAGGGCCCTTAGTAGTCCGCCATAGCTTCAGCCTGGATGGAGAAGAGAGAGGAGGGCGGTCATGGCTATCGTGGACCTCTTGTTGTGCTGGCAGTAGAAGAGGGATTCGAATATTGATTCTGGTTCAGCCATTCATCATTATTATTATTATTACTTATTGTTTGAATAAGAGAGGAGGAGAAAAGGAAGAGTTGGTTGGCGAGACGAAGGGGGAATTATCATTGGTCTTGCTGGTGTACATCTTCTTCCTCTTCTTTCCCTCTCTCTCCTCTCAAGTTCATTCATTTCTTTTGCAATTGGACGGCATTGTACTTTCTCATGAATTTGCACTTCGAAATTGGTCAGGATCGTAACATCTGCATGCTTAGGGTTTGTGGGTGTCACGTTTGAGGGATACTAAAAGCCTGCAGGTAGGTTTTTTGGGCAGTTGAGAAAAATGGCGATGCTCTCGTTGTGTAACCAACAGGCCTTGCTCAGTTGGTACACCCCTGAACTGTTGAAACGCAGACTCAAGTTCGAATCCAGATACTTTCAGATGAAGAGAATACAATCATTCTGAGATGCCCGGGGCCGTTCAGTGCAATGATGATATCTAAAGGATGCCGCTCTCTTTCAGAAAGAAAAAATGACCCTCTCCTCGCTTTCCCTAATCGAGTGTGATCCTGCTCTCCTTGCCGTTATTTATTTTGAGCGTGACACCTGGCGCAGTGGTTCTCTCGTGGTTTTTCTTCCTTTTGGCATGCGGTGATTGAATCCAGTAAAAAGTGTCTGCTATTTGCTGGATGGGAGGTCAGTCTCTTCCCTGATGGGGAAGTAATTAATGCCTCCTGTCCATAAGTGATTAGTGCTAAATAAGGAAGCTGGCTCCCTGGACTCTCTAGGGAGCAGTGGCCCCAAGAGAGCCTCCTCCAGCCTTAATGGGAAGAGGTGTGTGTTAATTTTGTTTTTCATTTTGTAATTTGAGCCTTGGGCACTGCCCCCCCTCCAAAAAAAAAGAAAAAAGAAAGAAAGAAAGAAAGAGACGAAGAAGCTTAGCAAAGGTGATGTTGTCATGAGAACTTTGACAAGTGGACTCGCGGTGGTGTTTCAGATTTGTTTTTTCGTATTTTTCCCCTTTGGTGGTACCGGTAGTCCTTTCGGTGCTTGTGTTTCTTGGTGTTTCCACTGCCATAGACAATTTTCTCGATGTCTGTGTGCTCAGCCATGGTAGGTAGGTGTGCACCCTTCCCCTCCACTCGATCTGGGGAGCACATACCGCATCAGCTTCAGGTCGATGAACACAGGGTACATTCTTTTCCTTTCTTTTTCCGTTTCTTTAAATGGGCTAGCCCCTAACGTGATTCCAACCAACAGGGTTCAAACACGGATCTGTTTTTCAACAGTTATACATGTACCATTCACCCACCAGGGCCAGGCAGGAACACAGGGTACGTTTCTCAAGTATGAGACGGAGAGAAAATCAATGAGATACTTAGATACCAATGGGCCTAGCTCAGTTGGTACACCATGAACTGTTGATGTACAGACCTGAGTTTGAATCCAGATGGAGCTAGAACATACTTGCAAGCAGACGCCGTCCACACGGTTCCGCACGTGCGGTGGACCGTCGGACTGGACCCGTGCGGCGCACGAATGTGCGCCCAACGACCAGTTACCCCCCCCCCCCC